TTCCTATTCCTATTCCTATTCCTATTCCTATTCCTATTCCTATTCCTGTTCCATGACTATCCCAATGACTATTTTTATTCCAACTACTACCCCTATTATTTCAATTTCTATTCCGATTCCTATTCTTATAACTATCCGCATCGTATTCGCATTCACATTCGCTTTCATATTCGTATTTGTATTCGCATTCGTCTTCGTCCTTATATTTGTGCTCACTTGCCTTGTTGCAATATTCTCTCCTTCTTTCTTGTTTCAAAAATACGGATGTGACATACATATATCGCAAAAAAAAACTACACATACACATTCGTACGAACTTCACAGACTTTTACTCAGCTAAGTAAAGTAATCACATCATCCACTTCGAGTCAATTAGTTTCAATTACTACTCTCAACACTAAGAGCAAAATAGCAAGCGAAATAAGAAGCAAATGCTAGAAAATGACACAGAAGTTTGGCCGAACAGTGTAGATGTATGTACTTACATACATTAGTCTTTGGTGTGTGGATTTAATTTTTTGCTTCTTAACATACTATAGGGGTATTCACGATCCGGCGCATACTGTCTATGAATACATGACATGCCATTTATGCTATCTATGCACCATGCTAGACAATATGCACCGGATCTTGAATACCCTTTATGTATGTATGTTGCCATGGACATGGCCCTATACTTGTATATATTTAACTTGTAGTAAATATGTGTGTATGTACATATTTATACGTAAACATGTTCTGTATATGCATAAATATAAGGTATGAATGTATGCAAGTGTAGATTTTTTACCTTTTTGTTCCTATTATTGCAATTGCAATTGCGCCATAGCACGCATCTGACAAACGTATTGCAAACAAGCGCCAATTATCAAGCGTGTGCAAAACGTGTGTGCAAATTGTACGGTGTATGTTTTGAGTGCAAGGCGAGTGCCAAGTGTGAATGACCAAGTGGACGCACTCAAGGCACTCAATCGAGGTATGAAAGTGACTTTTTATCTATTTTCACCACATGACTAAAAAAAAAAGAACTACTGGACATAAATTGCTTTTAATATAAAGATGGACATAAGAACTTGATATGAATTTTTTGTTGGTTTAAAAAACTGCACATGCACTTTTCGGCATTTAAAAAACAGGACATCGATTTTTGCGAAGTTAAAACTGGACAAATTTTTTGTTAGTTAATTAAAAGCTCTACATACACTTTTCTTAATTTAAAAGTTGGACATTTATTTTTCGAAATTTAAACTGAAAAATATATTTTTTAGATTTTCGGTGATTTAAAAACTAGACATTTTTGTTTATAATTTGACAACTGAACATATACAATTGACGATAATCAGTGACAGGCTTCTGGCAAACCTTCGTGCATATTTATGAAATGAAAAGGCTTCTAAAAAAATCATCTGCCGTTCGGAAGTGAGCTACGTTTGCGTTGTAACATCTCGACGCATGGCCATAAACTTAGCAAAAACGTAAGCGCCAAACACATTACTCGGACTAGGAATCGATCCCGGCTTACACTGAGTTTAGTACGCACCTCTAACAGTTGGCTGTGGTGACCACAGCTTATAAGCTAACTGCAGTGAAAATATATATATATTTTATTAAAACCTCTTTTCTAAAGTCTCAATTTACAGCTATGCATTCAATTAAGTACACTTACTCACTTTCTAAAATCTGTTATCTCCTTCTTTAGATACGAGTAGGTATGTATTAGAGGGCTGCATGAATGCATTCAAAACGGCTTATGAATTATTCATATACAAAACGAATGTATGATTTTGGCTTAAAATTTTTTTTTTTTGAATTTGAGTGAATAGCTGTTCTGATATTTGTATCGACATTACAATATTCAAACAAAGTGAAAATAAATTAAATTGAAATAAATGACAATTTTTTGTATGAATATCCAAAATGTATGTATATATTGCTGCGCTCCTATTATATACGAAAAATTCTGTTTGTAGAAAAAAACTTTTACCGAAATGAGTTTGAATGATTTGAATGTTTTCTATTCATTCATTCACATTCTTCCATGTGAAGGTAAAAAATATAAAACAAAATGTATATTCATAACTTACAAAATTCCAAACGCTGAGTGTTTTGT